AAAATTTCCCATGAAATTACTTTTGAATCAGTAGTAGATATCAATGGCCAAAAAGGCTGAATATTTGGAAAGAATTATCAAGATTGATTGAATTTATAAATTGTCTGTACCATTCATGTGTTCATTCATCAAACATTGTCTACTGTATGCCTGTTATGCTGTCTCTGGAGAAAAAGAAGGGCACTTATGAATGGGAATATAAACATACAGATTCTGCTTGGTGAAGAACATTTTGTTGAAGACCTAATATAAATAAGTGAGTCTCCTCTTTTTAATGAGGAAAAATATAGGAATACTGTAAATTTAGGATGAAGATAAGCCTAAGATGTATGACATGTAGAATTTACTTTATTAAAGAAGCGTGTTTCTTATCTAAGAAGTACATGAACTACAAGGATTTCTTGTCCACTCTTTTAAGTTGGAAATAGCTTTGACTCTAGAGTTATCTTATGGCCCAGATGGGGTAAAGGGAAGACATTTTAGGAAATGGAGATTCTGAGTCTTGAGATATACTGAGTGGAGCTTTAGATGAGTAGACTGGAGTTTGTTAAGTAGGCACAAATATAACCGATTAATAGTTTGGCATTGTGGTGGCCAAGAATCTTTCCTTCTTTTTTCATCCTCACTTGAACAATGATAAGTGTTTTAAATTTGGGGAAAAATTTATAGCTTTTTAAAATGTTTTAGAAATTTACAGCACTGTTTTAAATATTCACAGAAAGGAATGAGAAGTATAACTATGTATTGGTATTCCCATATCAAAAAGGATAATTTTAAGAGTTAGTTTAAAAATATGCCTTTAAGTTCTTGTCATTTACAATTCTGGTTCTTGATTTTTTTTTTTTTTTTATTCTGTAGATACTAACAGTTCAGATTAAAAGCCTCTTTTGAACTGAAAAATATTTCAACAAAACAATACATTTGAAATTACAAACAATATAGTTCTCGTCACTGAACTGACACTAAATTTTTACTTTATTATTAGAATTTGTGACCATAGATTAGTTACTGTACCCATTTTTTATTTGTTTCGTTGCTTTTGTTCTGAGATAGGGTCTCCCTGTGTAGTTCAGGCTGGCCTTGAATTTGTGGTGATTTCCTGCCTCCGTCATCCTGCATGCTGGGTTTAAAGGTGTGAGCTACCAGACAACTATTCTCTATTTTGGGTTCTATTACAGGTATGAACTAGGTGAGATAATTTATTAAGGCTCTTCCAGATTTGGAATTTATATATAATCTATGATAGTCAGGTGTCTGTGCGTTATCAACACCTACCCCAGAGACTAGTTCGTCTTAGGGTTAGACTGAGACTGTTGATGGCCTGTTCACCTTTTAGGACCTGACCACACCCATGCTGAAAGAAGAAAGCTTGTGGAAGGGATGGGACCTCAGGCTTCACTCATTCATCAAACGTTCACTCATCAAACCCTTGCCTTTTCCCTAACAGGCTCTTTGGTAATTTAAAGTAATTACAGGTTGTCCACGAACGATTTTAAATGAAGCATATAGAAGGATTAACAGAAGCATATTTTTAACTTAAATTAAAATTGGCAGAATAATTCAGTGTTTAAAAATTGTACTGGTGTTATTGATTGGTAATCTCATGTAAATGCTGTTGAAACTCTTGAGTGGCCTCAATTTGTGAATGTGTATTCTGAAAATTTCAGTTCTAAATTGTCCTTTTTGGGGGATTTTTTTATAGGAACAATATTAAATGTGATTATGTTTGATGCAGACCAGCCACCTATTTAAACCATAATGTTCAGAATTGAGTAGTATTGTAAAATTAGTTTTAGAGAAGAGACTAATTAAATACAGTGGGTTTTTTTGTTGGTCTGGTGTGTTTGTTTGTTTGTTTGTAATCAATGCCAGTATTTACAAAATTATTTGTCCAGGTTTTTTTGGGTGAGGGTACCGGGAATCAAATTCATGATCTTTCGCTTGCCAGGCAGGCGCTTGTGCCACTGAACTAAATCCCCAGCCCCGAATTTAACTAGGTTTACTGTGGTACAGAGGTAATTCTCGAAGTGACTATTGCCAGTTAATCAGATTCTTTGACCTCGGCCAACCTTTATATGTGTAATGATACACATGTGTTCAAAAGAGTAAAACACAAAAATGATCCCATTGAGCCTACTCTATTAGTATTTCATCTTCTTTTTACTGAGATTCTTGAAAATTTATGTTCCACTCTTAACCAGTTCACTCTCATCCCTAGCAGAGAGTTCCTACTCTCCACAGGTTTACTGTTCTTTGAACCTTGTGCCTGAACCTTAAAGCAACCAGTGTTTTAAAGTTATCCACGTAGTATTTGAGCTCTGACTCCTTTTTTTCCTTTCCCTCTCTTCTCATCATCCCCTACCCCCCACCATTTGAACATTTTCTTCATATTTCACAGTATCTGTTATACATTTTGGTCCTTATTTATACTTTCAGTTTTCTCACACCAGAGAAACAATACAGTATTTATACATATGTCTGATTTATTTCCCTTGGGAGTGTGGTCTCAAGGTGCATCCATTTCCCGAGAAATGTCTTGAGCTTATCCTTAATGGCAAAGTAGTACTCCATTGTATTAAAAAACTACGTCTTTTATTTTTTTTTTGAATCAACTTTTCTCATCTCATCTTGTCTTGTCTTTTTTCTCATCTCGTCTCTTCTCTTCTTTTTTCTCGGCAGTGCTGGGGATCAGACCCAGGACTGCATACATGCTAGACAGGTGTTCCCTACCTCAGCCACATCTTTAGCACTAAAACTCCTCATTTTTATAATAATGATCTTATTCAATTCTCCCGTAACAGTGTACAACCTAACTTACCTGTGTGCTACTCAGACTTGTTCATTTTCTTTTTTCCTCTCCATAATATTAGCTGGATAGGGCCTGACACACTATACACTTACTCTGTATGATCATGCTTGTAATAATCAAGCATTTATGAAATAAGTGATTATTTTTAACTAAGTGAGATAGCTCCTCAGACATTTTTTATTTGCCTTTTCACTGATATCATGGCTTCTGCTTTCTATACATTGTATTCACTTTATTCTTTTCACTTTAACTCCCGTTCTTCAAGTTTATTGTGAAATTATTCAAAATTTATTTTTACATATTACTAAGTGGTGTGTTAAGTATTTACACAGGGACAGCAAGACTACAGTTGGCACTTACCTGTGTATTCTTGCTTAGTATTCTGGTCTATTCCTCTTTTTTTTTTTGTTATGGTACATAGTAGGTGTGATAAATTTTCCCTGCTTTCAATTTCTGTTCCTTCTTTCTCCACTGCATCCTAAGACTAAAACAATCTACTTAAGTCAAAATAGAATCAGGTAGTATTTTCCTCTTACCTTCTAGTAGAATGAAATTTAGAAATTAGCTTTTTATTGTTCTGTAAAATTAGAGAACAGAAATAGGAAAGGCATTCCAAGTTTAGAACTATCAGAGGTGGGACTCAGCAGTGTCAGTAGCACTGTTATGCTTTTGGATGTATCTTTGAGACCGTTTTAGGTCTTGAACAGTCTAGCACACATTCATTTTTAATGTCTACAGTTTAGGTCTACAGTGTCTCTCAGTCTCAGTGTTCAAAGCTGGTACTTTTGAAAGGTGATTAGATCATGTAGACATTTCACTGATCAGTGGATTAACTATTGATGAGGTCATAGCTAAATGTACTGTTAAGAGGTGTGGCTGAGAGGAGGTACACACTGGAGACATGACTTGAGGGAGTGTATTCTTGTGCCTGCACTCTTTCTGTCCTTGTTTCTTAGCCACCATGGCTTGGACAGCTTTCCTCTGATACTTTCACTGTACCATTTCTGCCTTAGAGCTAACTGACCATGGACTCAATCCTGGACAGCCTCGATCTAAATAAACTTCTTTAAGTTTCAAGTATCGGGTATTTTGTCCCTATAGCAAAAAACTGACTAATGCAGTAACTTAAGAACTGTGCTCTAAAACTAGTAAATGTCATAAATACATTTTTTTAATGAATGAGTAACTTTGTGATACTTTGCGTTCATAAGGGTTAAGGTGGTTTTTTTATTTTAACATTAAACTTGTTTTGTGAGAGCTTATCAGTTCTTGGTTCCAGAAGTCTCTGGATGTTTGGTCTTGGGCAAATTATCTCTGCCCAGTGTACTTTTACATCTGTACCTGACAAGTATTAAAAATTATCTGAAATTAATGGCTTGTTTTTAGTATAGTCCTATAACTGCAGTTTCTCTTTTACCTGATAATTTGGGTTGATTTTTAGTTTAGCAAAGCAAATAGCCACACATGGTCTCAACTATTCAAGTCTCAATTTCTTACATGTCTGAATTCTTAATTTTAATTCCAGCTACCAGCATGTCTGGGTTTCTGTATAGTTTTATTTTATATTTAGAGCTTCCCAGACTTCTAAATACCAAAAAGTACCACTGCAGAGTTAACATGTGTTTTTCCAAGTAGACGATAATTTGTATAATTTTCCCAATTTTAAGATTTTCTTTGGTGCTTTGGTTCCTGCTTTTTTTGTAGTTGTTGGTATTTTCAGATAACAAAGTTAATAAGTTACAAAAATAGATTTTAATGTACATATAGATATCTTCATCATTTCATTTTGAATTCTTTGGCACACAAAACATGTTTATATACCATATATTTCATTATTGCAATTTTGTATTGCATAACTATTATAATTGTACATTTTATTGTTACTTTTTTGGCCCAGATTGTGTATTATTAGGTATGTCAGTTTTCTATCCAAAAATTCACTGCATTCGAGTGAATTGAGTTTTTGAGTTAATAGCTTTGTGAACTAGTACTTACTAGGGAGATTAACCATAATTTTTGAGTCTGCAAAGGGAAAAGAGATATTTCATTGACCATGGTTATTTTCACAATTAAAATAGTTTAGTAAGTTAGCTTATCATAAGATAGGAACTCTGCACGTTGGAAAATACAAAACTATTTGTATTTGTCATTTATCGTTATGTAAATTTTTTCCTTTTTGCCTTTTTACTAGATTGGTGTGTGTTTTGTGTCTACTCTTCCATCATACAAACAAAGAAGAAATACTGCAGTGAATGAATATTCCTCTGCATTTTAGCACTTCTTTTTCTACTGTAGTTGGCTTTTGAATGAGGATGACAATGGAAGAGATGAAGAATGAAGCTGAGACCACTTCCATGGTTTCTATGCCCCTCTATGCAGTCATGTATCCTGTGTTTAATGAGGTAAGTAGGTAAACGTTTTTTTATGGTCTCTGCAGTTCCTTAATGTTTGCTACGTTTTCTTATTTCATATAAAAATACTTGTACAAATGAGCCTCATTTATATGTTAGGCATTGTGTCAGCACATAAAATAGTAAAAACAACACCAATTAGATTTGCCACTCCCCTTTGGAGGTTACACTATAGTGAAAAAGATATTGCATAAAAGAATTATAAACAGTTCTGAGAATTACAAAATATCACATAAATAAAAATTGTGAAGTAGAAGAAATATATTAACAAAGAAATTGGCAGGTAGGATCTATTTTAGGGGTCAGGCCTCAGCAGTAAAAGTTAAGGGCTCAAGATAAGGACAGCCTATGAGTTATGATTAAAAAATATGGAAAATGTTTAATTTTTTAAAAGACACATTAATCTCTTTGAAACTCGCTCCTTCACTTTAGACACATTTATCCTATTTTTTTTTTTTTTTTTTTTTTTTTTTTTGTATCTTTCCAAAATAGTTCTGGTAGTCCTCTATCGTGAGTGTCCTTTGTTTTGCTGTGATGACTGCTTAGATGTGTAGAATCCATTTAAAACATTTATCTTTCCTGGTCATTTTAACTTTTGGGAAAAGCCAGATTTTATGGTGCTGGAGCTAATGAACAAAGTAAATGAAGACACAACATACTGTTTTTCTGAGCCTGCCTTTTGTTGGATCACACTCAGTAGAACCTACTACTTTTTATTATACTTGATAATGTTATGAAAGACATTGCTTCAGTAAATGGCAAGAATGATGGGAAAAGTGTGTTTGAAGCAAGGGATAGCATTTGAGGGTGATGAATAGTCTTCCTGTGATATTTTTCAAGATTTAAAAATTCATATATTTTGTTCACTTCTTATAGGTACCTCGTGTAATAGGTACAAAGATCTTTTAATAATTGGTGATGGTGGTCATAGAACACGTTTACAAATTGGAATCTACAGGATATTGTTGCATTGTATCAGAAGACATGGTTGCATTTATATTAGAGGAATTATCTTGGACTTAATACATTTTTGGTTTTTCTTTTAAATTATTATTAACCTTATTGTTGACACTATTGTTGGAAGACTTCGCCATTTACAATGTCTTTTCATTGCTTTTTGTAAAATGTTTTTCTTACAGTAAGAGTGTAAGAAATCAGTGTAAGAAATTCCGATCCATCTTCTCCACATTATTGAATTTCTCTCAATTGATGGATGTACTTTACAATCATAAGTTTTATGGCAGTGAATAGTGATATGTTTATCCCTTTCGACAGGGAAACTATAAATTTGTCAAATAAGATATGCATTTTGAAATTTCAGATACTATCAAATACCATTTTAGAATTTCAGATATTACCAAATAACAGTCTCAACATACATAAAGGAAAATTCAGAAGTGTGGCTTGGGTAAAAGTTTTCTCTGTTCGTTACCTGGAAGATTCTGTGGAGAAGTGGCCCGAGGGTGGATCATCAGAAACCCAAGTTCTCCCGTACTTAGCTATCCACTGTCAGAATCTTACTATGCAGAATAGCTGCCCAAATTCCGTCCTCCGGTCCTTATTTCTCTTACTGTGAACTCTTACTTCCTGCTGAGTCCACTTCCTTACCGCGCCCCTTTTAAAGAGCTACAGAAGACTGCATTTATATCTCATTTTTGACAGCTTAGTCTCATGACCAAACTTCACTGCAAAAGAGGTTGGGAAATTTAGTTTTGTTAGTAAGCAGGATATATCTTTTGAAAAACCTGCCTCTGTTTTAGTATTATAATGGTAGTGCTAGGGGTACTCTTAAGACTAGTTATTTCATCTGTTGGAGCTGTCAACCAGTAATCTAGTCCACTATTTAGTTGTTGTAGTATTTTACTTAGCTATTGCAGGTACCTATTATTACAAACAAGAGCATCATTTCTGTTCAGTAAATACTGAATGTCAGTTATATATTTGCTAAGTACTCTGCTAGATTCCGTAGATGTGAAGTAAACAGTAGTGTACCATTCTTGAGGGTCTATTAGGCCCCACAGATAAGAAATAAATTATTTAATTATCTTTGTACTTGGAGCAAGGCAAGGAAACAGTTACTAAATGTTCCACCCAGAATTATTGCATCTTTTCCTATCTGTATACCTAAGTTTACAAACTGCTGGGCAGAGTTGTTGGAAAGAATTTTCTGTACCTAGTATTTTGAGTCTTTCCTTGAGAGGAGGAAAATTTATATTATAGAATTTTAGTTTGATCTAATTAATGAATAAAAATGAGAAAAGCTCTGTTCTAATGTTTTATATGATCTTTTTTTCTTACATATTAAAATGGCTATTTGAATCTTGACTTTGCAAAAGATTTATATACAGTGTGGATTTCTCATAAAAAACTGTTGGGATTCATACGGATAAAAATTGTTTTCATTTTATTCTTATATAAGGAATTGAAAGAAAAAGACATGACTAGGAATAAACTAGTAAATCTCTACAGTAAATAAAGGTAGTGATTTTTGTACAGATGAGATCTGAAAACACCTGTGGCTTAATGGGACCAAAATTAGAATACATTGCCCAATGACTCAGCCTGGGAACTAATTAATAGAAGTAAAGTTTGAAAACGAAGTGACTAAATGTAGCAGACTTGAGAGATATCACAGGAGGTTTCCCTGGCCTAATTCTTAAATTGAATTTGCTGAGCTAACATCATAGTATGAAACCTTTAAAAACTTATTTCTGTGGTATATTCACACTTACATTCAGAATTCCACAGTTTTAGGAATAGTGATGATGGTGAATAGGTTTCCACTTGACATAAAATTTAGTGCTTGATTTAGAAATGGAATAAAATATTGGTTAAAAAGTATTTTGTTCAGTAGTAGTATTATTCACTGGAAGTTCATTGTGTTAAGTAACATCTAAATAAGATACTCAGTGAATTAAACATTAACTTGTATTTCAACCACAAATTTCTCTATAACTCTACTAAACAGGAGTTGTAGTTTAGGATTACTGCTTTTCTTGATTGCACTGATTTAAAGACAAAAGTGATTCACTTTAACCTATCGGAGAATAGCACACCAGCAATGAATGTTTTACTCTGGATGTTTCACTAACTTTTATCTGCATTGTGTAAGTTAAAAAGAGCTTACTCATTCTCACCTTAACATTTGATCCATAGGCACTATAATGGTAATCTAGAAAATCCCGTTAGCATAGATTTATCTAATGGAACACCCTTAAGCCTGGGGAAATTTTAGTACTGTTACTTCATCTTACAAGGCAAAGTTATTTATGGCATTCTGGGAGCTTGATGCTTGTAAGACTTGAAAATCTACTGCAAGACAACTGAGAAGGAGTACAATTTCTTATTTAATCAGCTGCTGAGGAGTTCAAAGTCCAAATATACTGTTTGTGCTGTAAATGTACTGTGGATAGGTCTCCATGTTGCATAATGGAATAATTGATTTCTAGAAACCTCATGCCAAGTTTTAGATCAAGTTCTCATGTAAGTATTATTTCTTACTGATTCTTTGTATGGGAAGGAGAGAGAAGTACAGTTCTTTATTCTAGGATAAAATAGCCTGTGTCGTCTTTTCCTGTGACCTTTTAGAGGATTTGTTTTAAGATGAAGTATAATTTCTGAAATAATTTGTTATATTTTAAGAAGCAAACAGCTTTACAACTACAAATGAATTTTAGATCACCACGAGTCTATATGTTTTGTTTATTAGTAAACCACACAAAAGCATATTCCTGAATAAATAATATTCCATTCAGAGGCTCTGACTTAGCTACTTCTGCCAATTCTTGGCTTATGTATAAAACTCTTTAATATTTTCATAGTGGGTAAGTGAAATCTGAGAATGCTTTAGCTTTACCTACTTGGCTCATCTCCCCACTTTGGAAAAAAAATTGAACTTCATACTTTCAGCATATAAATAATTTTTGTACAATGAAACTGTTCATTTTACCCTTGGTCTCCCACCCAGAGATGGTCATACTTAACATTTTGGGATTGAATTACTGCTCGACCACATACCAAGTGTATAATGTTGACTCTAGTTCCTTATCTGTAAAATCAGCATAAAAATAATACACTTAATTCTTACAGCAACCCTATGAGATAAATGCTGTATTGTATTGGAAAATTTTACAATTTTAACAGTCATACAGTGTTTTTTATTAAGGAATCTTTCAACGTGTAGTATATTTTCTGACAAAAATTGTGGTCATACTGTTGAGTTTTGTACACTTGCTAGTAATGTTTTAGTAATGTATTTTTAAACTAGTTTGATGACTCCACATACCTTTTGTGCCAGACAGGAGCTGATTCTTTTTGAAGCATCTAGAGAACTTATGTACAAAACACGGTTGGTTGCATTTGCTTGTTTTGTCTCAGGTTGAAAATTGACGGGTGACTGGTTGGTCCCATCTATTTCTGTTTTTCTAGTGTACTTATTTTTCCACCTGACTCACTACATTCTCATTTGAATCAGGAGAAACATACACAGAGCTTTTAATTGTTTTCTTTCTTTTAAAAGGTAGAGCCAGTAATTCAAGAGAGGGGTTTTAGGGTGAGGAATGTCAACATAAGAACATCAGAGCTTGCCTGATTTTGAGAAAGCAAGGAGCTTTGTAGGCACTATGGAACCAATTAACCTAATTATTTTGGCCTTTAAAAAATAGCTTTGATCAGATTTTATGTAAGACTTCCTAAATTTGAGCAACCAAAGGGCTAATTGGATTTTTTAAATTATGGGTTAGGAAACTAGCTTGATGTCAGAAAAATGTAGGAGTGAATTGATACATAATTCGAGAGGGAGCAGTGTAATAAAATGAGATCTTCATGGAGTTGAAATTATGTGTAAGCTTTTTTAAAAATTCCTTTTAAAATGAAGTATAATGTAAATTTGACAGCTTTGCAGTTGGTATTAAGTGTTCTGAAAAGTTATTAAGAGTAAGTTGCAAAAGGAGCTCATAAAATGAAGAGTAGATAGAATTTGGAGTTAAAGTGAGACCTGATGTTGAGCTATGAACAGTATGTATCCGTTCCATCCAAATGTGGTTCAGCAGATTTCTTTCTTTTTTGGGGTGAGTTGTTGTATACTTCTGTCTCTGTTCTTTTGTTTCTCATTCTGATTTTATTTTCCCATACTCTGCTATTGGTGACATGAAGCCCTGTATGACTGAGGCTGAAGTAGTGACTTTCCCTTTTCTGGTATCCATTATTGTAAGATCCAGTTGTAATGTTCCTCCTCCATTGGACGCAAAATACGGTGCTATGTATTAACCCAAGAAGTTCCCTATTCTTCAAACAGGCTAGGGTTCTTTCAGGATACTCTAACCAGATTGTTGACCCAACCCCTCAAAGAATGTTGGATTCGTTGAAAGTATTGGAAACAATTGAATTTCTTTTCTTCCAAGAGAACTTCCAAGGAAAATGATTTTAAAAGGCTAAGCCACTTTGAAAATCAGTTCAAGTATCATCTTTGTAAAGACTTTCCTTTCAACTTCACTTGACAGTGATCCTCTCACCTTTGATGAAGCTACTTACTTAAAGGTCTATATACCATTTCCTTATAGCTCTTCACACTGACTGCTTGCACATAGTAGGAACTGAAGAGTGTAATGGTTTTTATAGAGCTAACCATTAAACAGATTCAATGAAAGGGTAAACTAGTCTGAGAAGAGTGAGTAGAGGGCATCAAGGTAGCATAAATGGTTTGTGTGTGGGATTTGGAGCTGGACAGACCTGGTATGTGAGTCCTATTTCTGAATTTAGTAATTGTTTAACATTTGATAAATTTATATGAATTGAGTTTCTTCCTCTGCAAAATGAATATGATAACTGAGATTTATTGTGAAGATTTCAGGTAGTCTATATAAATATACATAAGCCTGGAATACATGCTTAATAAATGATAATCTGTTAGAATATTATCAGAACCTCCTACTGTCAAGAGAGGCTCTGATAAAATGAGTGTGATTTTGTCAAATAATGTAGCACAAATGACAAGCCTAAAAGAGATTATACTTTTTAATGTGGTAGCATGTATCACTGCCTAAGTAGTACAGACTTTAATTGTAGATTTAAGGATAGTGTAACTAAATTTATAGATGGGAAATTGACTTCATTTCAGCAATTCATATGTACCTATGTCCTAGTGTACTGTAGGCAGTATGGATACATATTGAGCTTTTGTAGGCTGTGGTATACGGTATGTAATATATCCAAAATGACCCTCAACAGGGTCCATGTGCTTTACAGTTCAGACTTTTCATTTAGTAACGTACATCTGGCTGTCCTTGACTATCTCTTTTTTATGAGACATACAAACTTAATCTAGAAATCTGAAGATATTGATACCTATTTTAGGTGATTTTATTAGATCTTCATTAGCGTTTCTGGGCCTGTTTTTCTTGTCTTGGTCCTTTCACATACCAGTCAGGGCAGGGCAGAATGAGTTAATAGTGCTGATACTAGAAAGCGTACATCTTAGTCAGACCTTTGATTTATTGAAAGATGTCGTTGTGGTTATAAACTCAAATAAGGAAATGGGTTCCTATAAGAATGAACCCTTCATCCTGTCCTGCCTGCCCCACCTCCTTTGTACAGTGACGTAAGATCTGATGAGCTGTATCATTAATTTTAATCGTAAGTGATACATGGAAGTAGAAAACCGTTTTCATTTTTGGAAGCATACTTTTGTTAAATTTATAAACTACTAGTTCATTCTTTTCCCACACTAGCTTAGTGGAGCCCATCTGATTTCTCTCAAGCTTGGTAGAATTCAAGATAAATACTAAGCTAAGGTTCATTATTTCTGAAGCCGAATTATTTATTTTAGCTGGTTTTTGTTGTTTCTGCTTTGTGCTTAAGGTACATAATCCATAGGAAGATAGAGTTCTTGGCATTTTTCACTGTTTTGTTTAGAAAGTAAATTGATTTCAAGTAAAGTATTGGATTGTCATCTACTTATGTATATGTCATTTATAAAGCAAATCTTACACTTTCATTGCCTTGAGTAATTGAAAGGACTACTTCATAATGTTACATATATTCATAAAGCTTTTTTAGACATTCTTCCTTATATTTATTAACTCGCTAACATTTAGTATTGTACCAAGTAAGTGTATATACAGTTTTTAATGTAAAGTAACTATTCCAGTCCTTAGGGATTGAAGACATCTGAATTTTACTGAAGCTAAGTATTTTAAGTTTGGCTGTTAACTCTTCAGCAAATGTTATTTTTATGAAACTGTTTGCCTCTTTTGGTTGGCTTAAAAATGAATTACATGAAGTGTATATGTAAAAGGACATTTAGTTTTTGAAATTGTAAGCCTTATCTATTAGAAAAATAAAAGCATTAAACATAACTTTTGACTTATTTTAAGTAATCATTTGTTAATAGAGGTAAAATAAGAATACAATCATAAGTTTCTCTGAATTGTAGATGATCCAGGATTCAATTTGAATGTTAAACCTTTTGCATTCCATTTGCTAATTGATAAAATAGACTAATCTCAATTTAATCCTTGAAAGGGAAAGGGACCAAGGTGGTAAACAATGTAATTTGCCACACAGCTGTTCATATTTTATGTAAATTTGCCCAGCAGAACTATAGCTATGGAAACAGCATTGAGAGTTTAATCTTAAGGCTTGCTACATTCAGTAGTTCAAAGAAACGTGTTTGTTTTTCTGTAAGGACTTAAGATTGTTATTCTGCATTCTGTGTGTATATGTGATTTTAAGGTGGAGTACCTCTTATTTTGTAAACAGAATGAATAAAGACACTGAACACACAATTTTCACTGAAAACTTGATAACCTGTTTGAATAATGTTTGCTAAGTGAGTGATGGAGTATCATGATTATTAGCACATAATAAAGTATTGCAAATGTGCTTTTCCCAAGAAAACTGATATTAATAATGATTTTAAATTTTTATTACAGTTAGAGCGAGTAAATCTGTCTGCAGCTCAAACACTGAGAGCCGCTTTCATTAAGGTGAGGTACAAATAATGGTGGTAGTTAATGTATGTATCATCTATAAATCTACCGTGCGATGGTTGCCAGTTTATTTTCTTTTAATGATAAGTGTTTTATACCTGTTTCAGTATACTCTGTAAGATTTAAAACACTTCTAAAAGGTGACCTGCAAGAGTCCTCTACTCATCTTAAACTTCATAACATACAAGCTGATGATTAACACAGTTATATGACTATGCTTCATTTGTTTTCACTTATGGATGAATTTTGTTATCTAGTTACTGCTCGCTCTTTCTTTTCCTTTTTTTTCTTCTGTTTTTGAGGAGTCCTTGCTATGTTGTGCTGATTGATCTAAATTCTTGGCATCAAGTAGTTCCTTTGCCTCGGCCTCCCAAGGAGCTGGGGCTCTGGGTGATGCCATCAGATGTGATTCACAGCACTGATTTTTACTCAAGATTAGTGAAAATTATTTTGGAGAAACATAAATTAGCCTATTTTTCATTATCTTTAAGTGTCATACTTAATTTATTTCAAATAATGCATAGGGCATGTGTCTAAAAGGTAAAGTTTTTGTGTGTGTGGTGTGTGTGTGTGTGTATCAATCTTTAGTAATCGATTTTTATTTGGAGGAAACAAGGATTAAAATAGTTTTTCCCAAAAATAAAAAAGATGCCTTTCAGTATTACCTCTAAAGGTGATGATCTTAATTTCCTGCTAACCTGTGTCCCCTTGTGTACTTTCTGCTGTGCTGCCCCGGTAGAGAACATACACTAAGCCACCAGAGTGCATGCATTCACCCTTTTGAATACTTTTCTGTCCAACTGTTTTATTTTTGCAAAGATTGAACACCCAAAGTTCAAGATTGAGAAAATCTGAAAACATAGAATCTTCGATGTAAGCACAGTTCCATTAGGGACATTGGGTAATTTTAAGTTTTTAAAATTAGAAGCATGTGGCTTAAATAGGACTTTAGCTAAAAGACATTGAAACCCAGCAGAAGTCAATGAAATATTTTTAAAGTTTTGAAGGGTAACAGTGATGATCAATATATTTGAAACTGCATTAACTAATAAAGTAGTTTGCAATTTCAACATACTAGATTTGTCTCTATTCCTCTAAATGATGTCATATATGTATGAAACCAGATTTTTGGTGCCCACTATGGTAAAAATTAAGTACTATAAGAAAAAATGCAAGAGGAAATGAGATTGGTAGGTCCAATATAAGTGCAATATTTGAAAAAATCGTGCAGTGCCCAGTGGGTACAAATACCTCATTACTAAGTAATTGTAGTACAGAATGTAATAAAATATTTTTCTTTGATCTGTGTGTCTTTTTTTTAAGGTTACCGAATTGTTAGGAACGTGATATTTAATGAATTTTTTTGGATCTAGCTGTTTGATAATACTATTAGCTGTTTATTTTGGCTAGGGACCTCTGTGAGACTTATAATCCTCCAATGTTTTGATATTTTAGGGCCCCAGACCAAGTTGATGTTGAAATCTTCATGTTTAGATATATATAGCATTTAACTATTTTAGCACCTTAATATAGCTCACAGAGATAATTTTCTGCTGGCATTTCTTACAAGCATATAGAGAATGCTTCCCTGCCCCACCTAGTATAATTCATTGTTTAGATAGATTTAGTGCTGAGAGAAGATAACACACTGTTACCAAATACTGCAGTAAGTGTACTCTTTTTTTGGCAGTTTACCGAATTAATACTGTAACAGGGCATCTTAAGCTGTACTTTTATTTTCAGAGGCAACTTTCAAAATGTTTTATCTTAAATGGATAAAAAAAAGATCAAAATAGATTTCTTAGAAACTAAACTCAGTTGGATGTACTTTATTGTTTTAATCCCCTATAAAAGTAATTTCTCTGAAAAGCAGTCGAACAGCAGTTAAAATGATCCCAGAATTGAAATAAATGTATTTTTCTTTTCCATTTCATTCCGCAACTTTTCAGTTTTAATGCCTGTAATCTAATGAAAAACATGTTGAAATGGAAAGGGTAGGAACAGAAGAAAGCTGTAACTGCAATGATGCAGAGTAGGATTTAAGAGCTGGAAACTACATAAGGAAGCAAAACAATTACCATCTGAGTAGGACCATAAATTGTAATTCTACCTGTTGTTTAATATTATGGCGAAAAAATAAAGGAAATCATCAGCATATTTAAATTGGCAGAAAAGAAAACAAACCTTGAATATGTTTTGTTTTTGTGCCTGTGTGTAATGCTAGGATTGGTGCCATGATCTTTGCACTGACTGAGCTATATATAGCTCTAGCATTTAAAAAAAAAAAAAACTTTTTTCCACTTCATTTTGAGGCAGAATCTCACAAATTGTTAAGTTGACCTCAAACTATTTTCGATTTTTCTTGGCATGTTGTTAAGGTAAATGCAAAGAATCCACAAATACCAGTGAGATGAGTTACTGCTATATCCCAGGTTAAAATGTTAGATAAGGTAAAATTTTTCAGTTATTTAAACCAATAAAAAATTGATTGATTACCAAAATATATATAATCTTTATTTTATTTCTTTGTTGTTAATTTGATTCCAAGAGAAAACAGTGGGTAAAAAGTATGAAATACTTGTTCAAATGGAGAATCAGACCATGGATATAGTAAACAGTTACTGATGTGCAAGTTCTAACAAAACATAAGTGAATGCCATCGTGCCATTGTTTAAACAAAGATTTCTGCCCGTGTGATTGATGTATCTAAGCCATTCCTAAGGAGTTCGTGACAAGTAAGTTTTGGCTTTAAAACACTGATTCTGTTTCTGTATTTCAAACTGCCATTCTTTGTCTTATAGGCTGAAAAAGAAAATCCAGGTCTCACACAAGACATCATTATGAAAATTTTAGAGAAAAAAAGTGTAGAAGTTAACTTCACGGAGTCCCTTCTTCGTATGGCAGCTGATGATGTAGAAGGTACTACCAGAAAAAGACCCTTACTTAGTGGTAATTGTTGGGAAGCATTTCTTACAAACCATAATTTGACAAAAGGGCCTCTCTTTTCTCACTTTGCATACCTTTTTTCTGTTTTTTGTGATGAGAGTGGAAACAGTATATGTAAAATAGTTTTTGATCTTTATTTTATATAGTATATATTTAGTTCAGTGAAGTACTTGTTGATGCTCCGTGCCTTAATTTATTCATGGTTTTTTTTTTTTTTTTGAGACAGGGTCACGCTATGCCATTCAGGCTGGCCTCACTTTTTAGCCCAGGCTGGTCTTGACCTTTTGACGATCCTCTTGCCTCAGCTGTGATTATAATTTATTCCTATTAATAAATTACAATACAATATCTAGAAAGTTCTGGTTTCATAGAAGATTAAGTTCTTTGGAAAGACTATTTTATGACATGTTTGAAAGTGGTGATCATTTTGGTTTTTTTAACATTAGTATAGCATTTTTTCCTAGAACAGATAAATAATATAACAGCCTTTCTTTATTTTTCTCAATTGTTTTTAAAAAACTAAAAGTGGGATTCATTCAAGACCATGAATAGCCATTTTCCCATAAATTTCCTATTTTTTAAGGGAGAAAAATGTAGATATTTTAGCTGATTTCATGAAGTATAAATCTTAAAAGAAGACCCTCATCACTTTTTTAGATTTCAGCACTTGCAGCCTGTTAGACTGTGCTTCATTGAATTGGTAGATTTGTAGCGCTTCCAGATCTACATTAAACTTGGTGGTAAGCTGATTTTGCTTCTGCCAAGTCTTTTTGAACTTTCTTTCCAAAGGAAAAGAGATTGTGTGGTTCTGTGATCTCTGCCTTTGTGTTAGATTTGTAATGGTGTTGCATTTTTAAGTGAGATTTCAAAAATACATGAAAAATTTTACCAGGTTGTTAGGAGGTTTTGATATGATGAACTGCAATTATTATTCATTTTAGAGGCTCTAAATTATTAAATGCGTAAGATTTTATGGTATTTCAATTTCTACACTGAAAATGTTTTGAAAATGTTTTAGTTGGAAGGAATATTAATGTTACTACATGACTAAACTGAATCTAAATAATTCTCTTTTGCAACTTAGTCTTTTGTAACTAGGTAGCTTTTTTTCTTCCCATACCCTGTCATTGAAAATTCTTAGACTTAAATTTGTCCGGGAAGAGCTGGGGATTTAGCTTAGCGGCATAAGCACCTGCCTGGCAAGTGTATGGTCATGAGTTTGATGCCTGCTACCAAAAAAAAAAGCTCAGGGAATTGCATGATGTGTTTTATTACATGTGTGTTTTATTAGAGTATATGATTGAACGACCAGAGCCAGAATTCCAGGACCTAAATGAAAAGGCACGGGCACTTAAACAAATTCTCAGTAAGATCCCGGATGAGATAAATGACAGAGTGCGGTTTCTGCAGACAATCAAGTAAGTGATTTTTTTATTTTAGTTCTTTTCTAAAATGTTTAAAAAAAATCCATTCATTCTAGTTTTTATTTTAATATGATACCAATAGTAGGTTGAAATAAAACTTGAAATCGTTAAGTACATTTTTATTAATTTACAGTACAATATTTAGAATGTTTAAAAATAACAGTGAAATGTGTATAAAGAATGTAATATGAATTATATGAATGATGGAGAAGTGTTAGATTCATCTGTATAGACAAATTAGATGACTCATAGAGAATGGTAATGAGAAATAACAAAATTTCTATTGGTCTGATTCTTTCATTGCATAAGTCTTTAGGATAAGTAATGCACTCATGTACATGAATAACATTTTCTAATATTGAGCAAACTCAACCTCCAGATCCTTGCTTTTGAGATACAAGTATGGAAGACTCAGTGCTGGGCATAGTGATCCTTGGAAGTGCATACATGAGTAGAGAAGTGCAGGGGAGACTCACACTTGGTTTCTGAATGTGTATCTTCAAACTGGAGAGTCTGATGTATTTTTTTTTTTTGTCTCAATTGATAGAAAATGAAAAAAACAGTAATTATAATGTCCCTACTAATGCAAAGTTTTGGTGAAACCATAGCTAGAAATTTACCACAGGCTTTATTCTAGAAAAGGCTGACATGAAAGAATATAAGGTACACTTGGAATAAATACTTAAATTTCATCTATCAAAAATAGTAATCTTTGAGATTCATGTTGCAAAACCATGTTTTAGCTAGTATGGGCACCTATTTTGAATGGTGAAGAGTATGGCCCAGTATTGGAAATGATGGTTCATGATAGTTATCTAAACCAGGTATTAAGAAATTATTCTTCTCTTTGAGGCTGAAGAATACAGCAGAGGCTTTTAATAGCCAAAATCTATGTCACAAAGGATAAACCTTAAGGATTTTACATTTTCACTTGATAAGAAAGCACTGACTTCTTTTAACTATCTTTAATACGTTAAGAAAGAGGACAGCCAACTGTTCATGGCATTTTATTTTTAGTATGATGTTAAATTTTTTTTTTTACCCATAAAAGGTTACAATGTCAGCATTTTCAGAGTTTTTTTATGTTTTTTCAATAATTTAATATTTGATATTTTCATTTGCCTTGTTAATTATATATTTGGTGCTAGCTATATTTCTGTGGAAAATTGAATTTTAAAATATTTTCAGATTTTGTTTCATATCATTGAATATCATTATTTCATTATTGAGTAGATGTCATGAAAATAATTGCTATCACAAAACCTGTTAAGTTTAAGCACCGTACTATTTAGTTTACATATGTTAACTTATTGCAAGCAACTTGAACAAACGGAGAAATTAAGATACCTGTCATACCATTGTCAAGGTCACAGAGAAATTTCAACCCCAGCACTCTGAAGCAGGGTCTCTCTGCTGCTTTCTACGATTCTTAATGTTTATCTAATGCTGTGATTGAAAAGTTTCCACTATTTGAGAAAAGCGTGTTACGTTGGACATTGTATGTAGGATGCCAGGATATAAGAGACAGAACAGTATTTGTGATTTAAACTGGATTAGAAATGGTAGGCCCAGAGCCTTCATCCTATTTATTTTGCCACCTTTTCCACCCTATTGAGTACATGAAGCATAAACCCTCTGTTACTCTAGAGACATAAAATTTGAAAACCACATTATTAACACCTACATTCAATCGTAAGAAAGTTGAATTTTACAATTTAAGAGTTTTGTCCATTCTCAAAAGGCTGTGCTAGGGCTTTTCTTTCTGTTTTCTGTAGTGTACTTAGTACAAATGAATAAAGAGTAACATCAAGGGAAATTTTTTTGTACTGGAAATTTATCATATGTTACTTTTGATACTAAAACTCAACTGTTCTTTGAATAGCATAGTTTGCTAAAGTGTAAGTTATCACTGTAATAAATACTGGTTACATTATGACAAATGTTACTACTGTTAATTGTTCCACAAATGACTAGACAAATTGCGCCAAAATAGAAAATGCCTCATCCTTCAGGTATGATATGTTGTGCAGTTTCTATTTTTCTTTAAAATATTCTATTTTTTCATATTTTAATTATCTTCCAATAATAAAATGGAATGTGATGTCTCAGAAACCTGCTACACCAAGCATTATAGGCAATGCTGTAGCTTGTGTTATTAATATCACATTCACTAGAATTTTAAGATTAATGGTTTTCATGATGGTTTTAAGAATGGCTTTAGACCAAACTCAATATATAGTACAGAGATTTACCCAAACTAAATATATAGCATTCCTTTTGAGTATCTGATATAAACATGGATCATACAGAATTAGGTGGCATGATTAAAAGTTATAATTTTCCATGCAGTTTTTTGATGTCTGTTTATTTTCATATGATACCTGTTATCTTTCAGTATATATATGTTTTCCAAAAGTTCCCCAACTAAATTAACTGCAGATTGTTAAATTCCTTCTTACCCACTCATGTTACCTGTCCCTTATCACAAAATCATTTACTCCAATTTGTGCATACTTACAGGATGCTTATTTTATCCCCCTTTATTTGGTTGTTTCAAGTCTTTGTTTTTTGCTTGTTTTTGCTGGTATTTTCTCTTATAGGAAAGCAATCCCCAGGTAACTGCTTACTAGTTCTCTAGTGCAGACCTTGGTACCATAAATGAAAATGCTTTTTTCTGTACAAGTGGGTAATAATATTTGCATAAATATTTCCAATTGTTCTTAGAGCACATTTTTCAACAGTTCAGTAGGTAATTGTTGCCTAAAGTCCAAATAGACATCCAGAAATAGGGATAGAGAGGCTGGCTTGGTCAGTGGAGTACTTTATAAAATCTCTGTACTTCCAAGGCATCAAATTTTAGTTCCTGGTTTTCAAACAACAGTGGTAGTTTCCACATGTGGCTCATTAGCACAATTACTGGAGAAGATTTCTTTGTCTTGATTTGATTTGGTTGGGGTGTTTTTGGTTTTTTTGTGTGTGTGTCTGTATTTGTTTCTTTTCTTCCTTCTTAAAAATTACAATTCCCAATTTTTAAAAACAAATCTGGAGTAGGATCTAGCAAATTCTTTCCTTTTCTACTTGCTTTGTTTTCCTCCCTAGACGAATTAAGCAAATTGTTTCAGAACTGCTTTTGATCTATAGAATCCAGCTTTTATAATTTTAGGTAGGTAGGTAGATAACATCATCTTGATGATTACTCCTGGAAGCATAATTTTATAATCACCATTTTTGCAGAACGTTAAACTACAAAGTGAGATTGTATGTAAATAGCTGTGTGATCACTGTGTAATTTGCTGCATTATATTTCATCTTATGTAACTCCATTGTGGATTTGGTGAACCTCTCATATTCACAGTTTAACAGAAATTGTTAATTGTAGTTTTTCTCAAAAATACACTGTTTTATTAAATAATGATGGATTTATGTTCATTACAGTAGTACATGAGATGAGAATTGCTTAAAAATGAAAGAATCAGTTACATCTTTATTCTGCTATTACTGAACTGGAAACAAAAAATAAATGAACAGGTGGCATTTCCATGTAAAATCCATCATCCTACTTGAGTGTGTACTATTTTAGTATTGTCATTGTTTGTCATACAGGAGGTAAATAAGTAAGTATTGATCAAATGTTGTTTCTACTTTAGAATAGGCTGAAATACTTTTGTGTACAGTTAATTCAGAAATCCTGTAGGCCCATACTTCTTTAAGTTTCCACACGCTTATTTACTGAAAAATATGCCGGGGAACACTGGTTTTTTTGTTGTTTTTGCTGTTTTGCTTTTTTTTTTTTTTTTTTTTTCTTTTGCTACACATACTAAAATTGAAATGTTTAGGTATGAATAATTTAAATCTGACATTTGCAATTAAAAATTCAGCACTGAAAGGTTGTGTTTCAGATGCTCTAGATTTAAGTCTTATTAATTTTTGTCTTCACTTTTGTGCTGCATTTGAACAGCAAAAGTTTTATAATTTTAAAAAGATCCTTAGAGAATGATAGGGTTTAGAATGAGAATTACATAAAGTTCAGTTTAACAGAACAAAAATTGCTGTGAAGTTAGAATATGGAATTTGAGGAGGACATTGACAGGAAAGATAACAGTAGCTAAAAATGGGTATATGGAAAGGAAAGATAATTCCAGTGAGACTTAACTGTTTTTTGAAAGAAGAAAAAGGTGTTGATACATATATAGTGAAAGAATGATTGCTGAAAAGGTTAAGGTAGACAAACATTCAGATGTTGTCATTCCTGGTACTTCAAATATATTTTGCAAAGGTTTAAAGGTAGATACTCATTTACTAGATAAAAGGTAATTGTGTCTGAAAGAGAAGGGAAGAATATTTCCTCACTTCTCAGGAGGAAACATTTTAAACCTCAAAACTTATAGATATATAATGTAAGATGTAGGTTAATGGGGCTGGGGATTTAGCTCAGTGGTAGAATGCTTGTCTAGCAAGCTGCAAGCCCTGGGTTCGGTCCTTAGCACCAAAAAATAAAAAACAAAAAACCTAAAAAAAAAAAAAAAAAGATTTTGGTTAATACAGAAATGAGTTACATGTGATATAAAATTTCATGAAATAACAAAAGTAGAGAATATGGTAGCTTGAATTCATCAAGTGAAGCTGAATGAAGTGCTGTTTAGGAAAGTTAGTGTTACTTGAGAATATTTGATCAGCAGTACAAGAGAATCAGATCATAGAATTGTACAGACTGAATCTTCCACTCCTAGCAGCTAGCCATATGTTGGCTCTACCAAAGTGTACATATGGTGATCAACAGTATAGTGTGATTAGTAATTATATGAACATAGACATACACGTGCATACCTATACTTGTTTTAAATGTAGCTGATTTTAAAGTTATATTTTTCCTTTCCTCATAGGGATATAGCTAGTGCAATAAAAGAACTTCTTGATACAGTGAATAATGTCTTCAAGAAGTACCAATACCAGAACCGCAGGGTAAGTTTTGTTGAAACTTTGCTAGTTGCTACTCTGACTATTGGTTTTTATCTAGTATTAATCAAATTAAACAGTAAAAAGTTTGATTATTGGAAATTGTGTCATAATTTGTCCTCAAACATGCTGTTATATTTAACTAAATGCTGTTAATAACCCTCATATAAAGTCTGTCCTCTGATCTTCAGTTTTTGACTGTAATTTCTCATGTTTAGTATTTTCCTTACTTTTCATAACTGTAGGCACTTGAACACCAAAAAAAAGAATTTGTAAAGTACTCCAAAAGTTTCAGTGATACTCTGAAAACATATTTTAAAGATGGCAAGTAAGTATGATATTTTCTTCTAAAATTCAGTATATTCTGTGGTTTTATGTAATATCAAAACATGTTAAATTAAGCTGTTTTAATATATTTCTAACAGTTAAAGCAGCTGTTAACAGGTGTGTACTGCAAGAAAATGAGTGGCTACTAATTCCAGCCATAACTTACTCTAGAGCAGTTGCTGTCAGACTTTCTGAAATGGACCAGGGAGTGAATATTTCTGATTTAGAGGCAAGTGCTATGGCAGTTACCCATCTTACATCTAATGTAGTGCAAAAGCAGCTATAGACAGAATGAGATCTAGTGGATATAGTTGTGTCCTAATAAAAGTTTATATACATATGAAAACTGAATTTTACGTAATTTACACCTATCACACAAGACCATATCAGTTTTTTTAAAAAAGTTTAAAATGTAAAAGCATTCTTACCAATCCATCAAGTAGTGACTCTCAAAGTTGAGTTGCTTCTGACTCAGTTGATCTAAAGTGGTACCTCAGAATTCTCATTTTTAAAAAGTTTTTTGGTGATATTAAAGCTGCAAACCTGTTGAGAACCAATGCACTAGAACTGAAACAGTACTTCTCAGTCCTGTCTGCATGCTAGAGTCACTTGTGGTCCATTTTTTAAAAATTACAGGGGGTCCACTTCTAGAGATTTATGATGCATTTGACCTGGAATGAAACCAGGATCTAAAGGTTTATAAAAGCTCTAGGTGATTTTAAAGGTTTATAAAAGCTCTAGGTGATTTTAAAGGGCTACAAGGATTGTGATCCTTGGGAGGCATTCTAATCAAATGAGAATTATAGTATAAATGTAAAATGAACAATATTGTAAGTTTATCTGTTGTAGAGTACTAGCAGAAACATTAGATTTCTTATGGAGAGACCATGCCTTCCGCCAAACTCTTGTCATAATGGTAGATCTTTGTAGTCAAAATAGAAAGCTTAGGAATTTTGTAGACAAGACCATTTTTTCTAAAATTCAATTTCAGTATCTGTCAACTTCTATTAAAACACAGCTACATGCACAAGTTCCCATTCTGTCTGTGGTTGCTTTTGTACTACATCAGATGGATAACGAATAGTTGTCTCTGAACAAATATCTCATCCTTTTAGGTTAAGATCCCTGTATGCATATACTGTTATGGTGTTATAATATTTCCAAATGCTGTTACATTAGAATTACAATTTTCAGAGTCAGTTTTAGCAATAACAGTTCAAACAAGTTGAAATATTTATAGATTAAAGATGATTGGGTATATTATATTTTATATTACTATGAATCCTAATGACTTAGTTTAATAACTTAGCATTTTTCTGAAAATAAATTTTATGTTTTTCTTTGGTCTCCTGTGCTGAGTCCAAATAGCAAAGAATACACTGAAAAAATATTTACCTGATGGTGTCCTTATTTCTGATTTTATTTAATTAAAAAATATTGTGGATAAGCACATTGAAAGGTAAAAGTTAATTTTGAGCCTACTTTTCAATAATCTAAAATTATTTACTGTGCATGAAAATTACTTACACTTCCTTTTTTTTCCCCCTTTTACCAGCTTCTTCAATTCTAGGGTTGTTGTTTTTTTTTTTTTTTTTAATGTTAACAGAATGTGCTACAAGTTTTGTACATGCTTACTAAAAATGAAAAATTATAAACCTAATCTTTAATCAGTCTTTCAATATGTGGGTGACCCAGTTAATGTCTCCCTGGTTCCTCTGTCCATGTCCAGGATGAAAGTATAAGCTGCAGCTATAATAACTAAAAAACTAATAAAGCCACACAGTGGAAATAAGACATCTGTCCTGTGCTCTCATCACATGGAAATTGGCCATTAGGAGACTGTGGGGAGCAGAGAGCAGTTTTTAAAAACATTTTGTATATTTTCGGAGTCCATCTATTGAAACCACAATTATGAAACTTTATTTCCAACATATATTAATTATAAAAGTAATTTAGAATTGTCACTTTTTTTGGAAAGGTGTGAGAAATCGGATGAGTCAGTTAAAGGTCACTATTTCTGTAGTGTTTATTATTCTCATTGATATATAGATCTTGAGGCTGAGTTTATTACCTAGTTAGATTTTGTTGCTTTTGTGAAACCACAGCTGGAGATCACATCCCAGTGCTTTTTAGTCAGTTGTTTGACCTGTACATGAACTCTGGTTGTTTGAGGTGCAGCCAGTCCTCAGCAGCCCTCCAGCTCATTGTCAGAACCACCAGGGGGCAGTAATTCCTATACTTCAGTTTGAAAAGCTGCAAAACGATCGAATCCCAAACTGGAATAAAATTGTTACACTATTCCATACTACCTTTTTTTTTCTTAAATTGATTTTGTTGCTGTTACTGATACTTGAGATGGATATAACATTTTAAGAGTGAATTTTTTCAATGAAGTTAATGCGTATTTTGTTTTCTTTTTAAACAGGGCAATAAATGTGTTCATAAGTGCCAACCGACTAATTCATCAAACCAACTTGATACTTCAGACCTTCAAAACTGTGGCCTGAAAGTTGTATATGTTAAGAAATGTACTTCTCAAAGGCAGTATTAAACTGCCTTATGTGTAAATTTTAAAGTTTGACTGTATAAATTATCAAGTCCCTCCTGAAGGGATCTAATCCAGGATGTTGAATGGGATTATTGCCATCTTACACCATATTTTTGTAAACTGTAGCTTAATCATAATCTCACACTGAAGATTTTGCATCACTTTTGCTATTATCATTCTTTTAAGAATTATAAGCCAAAAGAATTTACGCCTTAATGTGTCATTATATAACATTCCTTAAAAGAATTGTAAATATTGGTGTTTGTTTCTGACATTTTAACTTGAAAGCGATATGCTGCAAGATAATGTATTTAACAATATTTGGTGGCAAATATTCAATAAATAGTTTACATCTGTTAAACATTTCTTTACTTGAAAAAAGATGCATATATATGTGTGTGTGTGTGTATATATATATATATATATATATATATATATATATATGATCAGAAGACCAAGACAACTTGGTATAATGTCTAAAGAACTTCTCCTAATGGGAGCTTATTAGTGATTTATCAAATGATACAGCAACAAGAATTTCTATTTTTTGTCCTCAATCACTTTGGAGAAAAAGTAGTCAATGAAAATATTTTTGTTAGTTGTTACATATAAGGTACTGAATATTTTTCCATTACTTCTAGCCTGTTTTAAAAGACTTCTGAAAAAGCAGTGGCAGTTCATAGTGTCTTCTCACTATAATGCCATTTTTGAACTGTGTGACATTATAGATTTTACTCTTAAGAAATTATTCTGGTATACTGGGCCCTAATACGCTTTGCACATTTTCTCTCCAAATAGCTGCAATTAATAAGTAATTCAAAGCTATACCAATAGTTGGTTTGAAATTTTCAGGAGTGTTAATATTATATATACTCTTTCAATATGTGTAATTTTGTTTCACAATAGAGGAGTTTTAAGGAAATTCTGTATTGAGTATTCATGCAAAGTTGATTTTTCAATTATAAAATAAAGGAAAAAATCAGAATTTGTTTTATAAAGATTTCAAATACTAAATTTCTCTTGACAATATAATTTACTGTAATGCAAATTAGTTGTTTTTCCATTTTTAAAAATGAGCTTTTAAAGAATTACTATAAAAGTTATATCATCTTGTTGAATGTAGATAAAAAATATGTGGAAAGAAAAATCTAATAGATAATTGGTTTGTAGTCTTTGGGCATTTTATTGACTTTTCTTCAAAGACATATAGGCAGTAAAATATTTAGAATTGGTTATCTACTATTTTGACATAAGCTGTCATTCAATCTTGAAAGAGAATGTGTGATAATTTGCAGAATAGCTGTGAATATATGAAGAAAGAAGAGGGTTTTATTTGGAGTGGCTTTTCTAACATAACTACCCTTTTTCCTTTTATTTTTTAATCTTGTTACCAGAATTTGACAGTTACCTGAAATCACTTGTTTTGTAAGCCTTGTTCTTTTTTTCATTCTATTTATTATCGTATTTATTATCATTCATTTCTGTTATTAAATACCCCTGCAGCAGAGGCATGTTCTCAAACTTTCAGTTATTTTCATAATTCTAGCAAGGCTGAGTTTGGGTCAGTCAGGGAAAAACCAGTGTGACTGGTCAGATCTGCAGAGTAGACGAACTTGACTTAGAGGAATGGGAAAGAAGGCGACACATTTGTGGATCACCTTTTCTCTATCACTCATTCTTCTAGAAATGTTTCTTTAATTTGATTTTCTTAAAAGCTCCATGACTTACCTAACTACCTACTCAAGGGAATTATTTACACAGCAGTAATTAATTCCCCAGAACTGCTGGAGCTGGAGTTTGAATTCAATTGTCTCCAGACTGCACCCTTTTGCCCACTGTACTCTTCATTTCCAGAAGTATACTGTTGGAATACTGTTCCCTGATTGCCACACTCTGCCACAGTCTGTAAGACAAAGTTAATTTGTATGTGATTTTTTTTTTGCTATGCATCTAAGTTTGTTTGTTTTAAGATTATTGTTTTCTCAAAATACATCCTTCCCCAGCCCTAAAAAGAAAAACAGTAAATGATAATTGTGTGGTTAAAAAAATTATATATCCTTATTAGACAAAACATAGGAGTGGCAAGCCAGATTGTCTTTCATTTTTTCAACTTATATGGAAACAATTTCAAGGTTATAGAAATTTTGCAGGAATGAAAGGGCACAAAACATATTTTTCATTTCACTTTTTTTTAACCCAGGTTAAACTGTTAAAAGTTTTACTCTCATTTTATCATTTGCTTGTTTTTCCTGCCTAAAATCTCATCTCTGGACCAATTCTGTGGCTTTTCTTGTTATATGTAGCATTAATATGTTGTAATAGTACAGTCGTCTTTATCTTCCTACCCTCTTTATTTATAACAGTTTTTTTCAACTTGGTTTTCCACATGATTAGATTTAGGTTACTTCTTGGTTCATATGCTACATTGGTGGCTGTGTCTTCAAGAGAGTGACATCTAGGAGCATACAAGATCCATTTCCTCATTGATAATCTCAATTTTGGTCACCTGGTAATGGTGGAGTTCTAGTTCTATAATATAGTTACTATTTTTTACCTTCTAATTAATAAGCTGTCTCTGGGACTCTTTCAAGTCCATGGCAAAAATTTCCTCCAGGATTAAAATTCAATCAAGAGTCTTCCTTTAGTCTGTTCTTTGAGATTCATGGTGTTCTTTGAGATACATGATTTCCCAGCTCTAGCATTCCTTCCTCAGGTACCAGTCGTCCGTCAACATTCTCCTGCAAGCAGAAGCTCTCTTCTGTCACCTCTCCATCCACCCATTTATCCATCTTTGTGTCCTAAATTTTTGTGTCTGATACTGTTACAGACATGATTTTCTCTGTCTCTTTTCAGTGCTTTGTAATCCCATTAATGTATGTACTACTCAGATTGTCTGGGGACACTCCAGTCTGGAATCAGCAGTTTCTTCAAAGAATCGTAGTGTGTGGGTATTAGATGCCTAGATCTGAATCCTGAGTGCTTTTATTGCTACTAGGCCATTCGTTGACAACTATGGAGTGTCATGTATGTAAATATATTCACAAATATGGACATATACATGCACTTTTTAAGAAACTGCCAGACTTTGAAGTAGCTACACCATTACATCCTCATTAGTAATGTAATGGTTTTCCATTTCCTTATACCCTAATGGTCTGTTACTAACTTATCACAGATGTTACTACAAAAATCCTAGTGTGTGTCAGTGGTTTGAATTTTCATTTTCTGATGACAGTGATACTAAAAATCTTTTCAAGGGTTTATTAGCTACTTCATATACATGCTTTTATGCATTTTTGCATTTTTAACTTAACATCTTAGGAAATCACTAAGTTAGCAGAGACTTCTCAGTGTGCTTTTAAAATAGTATTCCATGTTGTAACAGTTTATCTGATCCTTCTCTACATGAGTACGCAGGTGATATTTAATACTTTGCAGATGTACAAATGATGCTATAATGAATGACTACACAAGCACATACTTGTTAAAGGTAAAATCTGAGTACATTCCTAGAAGTGGGATTACTGAGTCTAAGGATGTGAACATGTATAATTTGGCTAGATATTGCCAGTTTTCTTTCTAAGAAGGTTGTAGCATTTCCCCTTCCAGCAGTGTATGAGGACATTTCCTTAACAGTTTCACTGACAAAGAGTATCAAAGCATTTTAATTTTTCCCAATGTGATAAGTAAGAAAAGGTTTCTTTAGTGGAAACTAATTTGGATTTCATTTATTATAAGCAAAGTTAATGTTTTTCTTTTACACTGCTGTGAATTAAAACCAAGACTTTTGCACTGAGCTACGGCTCAGTGCTTTTTGAGCCAGAATCTCCCTGAGTTGCTAATTTACCTACTGGCCTTGAACTTGCAATCTTGCTTCAGCCTTTCATAATTCTGGGAATGTAAGCCTGTGCTTTTAAAGAACAGTTTGGTATCTTTTTGACCTTGACATTTTTTTTTCTATGCTTTTTTTTATCAATTCTTGTGAAACCATTTGGACTTAATGATTTTTTTAGTTCTTGATAACTTCTATAAAAATTGGTTTCTTTAACTTTTTATTATAAATGGGTCTATTTGTTGCATTTTTTAAAGAAACTATCTTCCCATTTTAAAATTCCATTAAAATAATTGTATGTTTTACATTTTTTCCCATGACAGTCATATTTCTTACTCTGTATTTGTGCTTGTTTTCTTTACTCAAAGAGCAAGTCACTTGTTTTAAGTTTTCTAGGATTTTACTCATTAACTTGATTTACTGTTTTTCTATTCTATATTTCATAAATCCTACTCTTATTATTTTCTTCCTTGGAGTTTACTTTTTTGTTCTTCTGATTCTTTCAGTTGATATTTCATTCTTTTAAATTGATACAGTTCTATGAAGTTTTCTCAGTTGCTTAAGAAATCTGATGATACTGTCATTCTTCAGAAACTATAAATTTCTAATTGTATTTTCTATTTTGCCTAAAAGTTAAATAGTTTCTACATAGAAAGACCTTTGTATAATTTTTATTATTTTTTGTTTTTATTTGTAGTACTTTTATTTCACGGTTTCTGCTGATTTCTTTATGCCCTAATGTATGGTCAGTTTTTTTTCAAAAATGAAAATGTCATGAGTTTGCTTCATGAATGTGATTACTTCACAAATGTAGACATTTCATAAATGCTTGTGATTATATATATTCTATTATTGGGATATAATATTCAAGATATAAAAATAACATTATTCATTTTTAGATATCTTTTTTGCTCACTTAAAATGCCTTGTACTTGCGTTAAATTTTTTTTAGCAATGTTTTTGTGTCTCCTTGCATCTCTTGTAGTTTTTCTATGTAGATGGTTGCTGTTACTTGTTTTATAGATACCTTCAATATCCTAAATGTGATATGTAAATTTTACCATTATAAAATATCTTCATCCTGTTTAATGATTTTTGAAATTTGTATTTTGACCTTGAGTTAAATTCATTTACGTTTATGTGTATGGTGGTTATGTTTGGGTTTAATTCTGGTATATTGGTTATAATTTTTGTATATATTATGTTATAGTTACTGTATATCCTTGTTCTTTTTGTATTTTCAAAGCATTCCATTTGTTTTGTTTTGAGGAAACTTTTATATTGTATTAATCTTTTATATATAGTTTTATTCTCTTTTTATTTTTAAACTTTTATGTCTATATTCGTTTTATTTTTTATGTATTTGCATCAAGGAGTTGAACCCACAATTTTCACACTGAAAAGACTGGGGTTATAGGCATGTGCTGTTATTACATTCAGTTTCTGTCAGTTTTAAAACATTTCCTGTGACTTCACCTGTTCCCTGAGTGAAGCTGCTGTTTCTATTCTACCTTTCCCTTTTTTCTCTT